GGGCTGAAAGAGCTCTTTTGAGGACTGCTCATGAGGGAAGAGCTCTGAGAGAACTTATGACTGACCCAAGGTCACACCAGCAGTCACATGTGGAGGAGTGGGGAATCAACCCCAGTTCTCCCAGATTAGAGACCGCACTTCTAACCACTACACCAAACTGGCTCTGGTTGGCCACTGGTTGGCCACTGTGTGAGACAGGATGCTGGGCTAGATGGACTATTGGTCTGATCCAGCTTATGTCCTTACATAAAATGCCACAAGTTAAAATCACAGTTTACAACTGTTAGCAGATGAGGGGGGGGGGGTAACGAAACTAATCAAATGCTGTTCTGAATAAAGCCGATTTCAGCTGCCGCCTACAGATCATTAGTGGGGGGCCAGGCGTACCTCCCTGGGGAGGTTGTTCCATATTGTGGTTGTAGGGTCGCCTGGTCCCTCCTGGCCACCAGTGGGGCATTGGGGGTGGGAAAGCATTGCCAGATCCAGGCTGGGGAACTCCTGGAGATCTCACGGTGGAGCCTGGAGAGACCTTTGTGGAGTACAATGCCATACAATGTCCTCCAAAGCATCTGTTTCCTCCAGGGGGACTGATCGCTGTCGTCCGGAGATGAGCTGGACTTCCGGGGGATACCCAGGCCCCACCTGGAGGCTGGCATCCCTGGACCTCAGTGGGGCACAAGGCCACAGAGTCCCCCCTCCAAAGCAGCCATTCTCTCCAGGGGAACTGATCTCTGTCGTCCGGAGATGAGCTGGAATTCCAGGGGATTCCCAGGCCCCACCTGGAGGCTGGCATCCCTGGACCTCAGTGGGGTACAATGCCACAAAGTCCAACTTCCAAAGCAGCCATTTTCTCCATGGGAAATATCTCTGTCGGCCGGAGATGAGCTGGAATTCCGGGGGACCCCCAGGCCCCACCTGGAGGCTGGCATCCTTGAACCTCAGTGGGGCACAAGGCCACAGAGTCCCCCCTCCAAAGCAGCCATTTTCTCCATGGGAAATATCTCTGTCGGCCGTCTGGAGATGAGCTGGAATTCCAGGGAATCCCCAGGCCCCACCTGGAGGCTGGCACCCCTGGACCTCAGTGGGGCACAAGGCCACAGAGTCCCCCCTCCAAAGCAGCCGTTTCCTCCAGGGGAGACTGATCCCTGTAGTCTGTAGCAAATGCCAGCCAATTTAAAGTAGGCCTGTTGCCACATAAAAATTTTGGACTGGCTGCTACGACTAGAAATTTAGTAATTGGCTTGCTCCTATGCAACGGAACTGAAAGTAAGTCTAAAATTATTCTAGCTAAAAATGATAACAAAACTATTCCATTCAGCTCCATGTCTTTTTCGACTCCTTATAACTATGCTTTTTACAGGATAATTTGACAAAGAAGAAAATAAGAAGCTATATTGTTTTTTAAAAAAGAAACTAAGCTGAGCCTAGAGGTTGACACCTTCCAACTTTACAAGACTACTCATGAGGAAGATTGGTGAAACGAGTGCAGAAACCGGTGTGCTCATCGAGGATATGTTCATGTTCGACTTTGCTTTGCTTATGTCAGAATTCCCTAACTATATTGTCAGATTAATAGCTTCACAAACTGATGCTCACAGAATCGTTAAATGTATCATTGTTAATTTTATCACAGCGGTTTTCTGTTTGTTGGCGTGAGTCTTCAAGCCACGGCTGGACAAACACTCGTCGGGGATGCTTTTGGGCGGCTGATCCGGCATCGGGCAGGGGCTTGCTGCCTGTACGGCCCCCTGCCAACTCTATGATTCTAACACACCCCTGGGAACCTGCAGAGTGGCTGGCCTGGCCCCCCCCCCCAACGCTAGAGCAAAGTCTGCCAGATCTGGGAATCCACTCTGGCAGCTGGCAAGGACTTCTATCTACCAGCTCTCTCCATCTGTCAGGGTGCGCCAATATCCTGGAGACGGGCCGGCCGAAAGCCAGTCGTCTGGGGCCCAGACAGTTGGAGTGCCCAGATGGTCTCGTCCAACCACCAGTCCTCAATCTGGACGTCAACAGCCCGGCGAGTCTTTAGACCCGTTTGTGTGTCTGCATCGGCCCTTTAGTATCTGCTTTCAACCCAGGTGAGATGCAGGCTGTTGGGGGAGCTTGGAATTGCTTCTTCCCCCACCGGCCAGCTGGCACCTATCTGCAGAGATTTTTAAATTTAAAAACGTTCGTTTAAAGTAGTTCCAGGGCTCTAGTCGGGGGGGAGCTCTCAGGTACGGAGCTCCGGAAGAGAACCTCTAGGGGGCGGGGCCGTCACGTGGTGAAGCCCCGCCCCCTTCTTTACCCCGCCCTCTGCTTCGATCCTCATTCCGTTTGGGAATGAGGATGAAGCAGGAGGGTAAGTAGCCGGGCCTTCTGACACACTTCCGGTGATGTCAGGGGGTGTGGCCTTCTGTCACTTCCGGTGATGTCAGGGGGCGTGGCATATGCAAATAAGTTATGCTAATGAGTTATGCTAATGAGCTCCGGCAGCTCTTTTTCTACAACAAGACCCCTGAGTAGTTCTGTGTCCCACTTTTCTCCTGCAGAGTAGGACTCAAAGTGGCTTGCAAACACACAAACACACACACACAATCCTGTCTTCTTATTGTAGGTAAAGGTTTCCCTTGCCCGAAAGCCAGTCGAAAACGACTCTAGGGGGCGGTGCTCATCTCCGTTTCCAAGCCGAAGAGCCAACACTGTCCGAAGGTGCTTTCCGTGGCCATGTGGCTGGCATGACCCGATGCTGAGCTGCACGGGACGCTGTCACCTTCCCACCGAAGTGGTACCTATTTATCTACTTGCGATTTCTTGCTTTTGAACTGCTGGGCTGGCAGGAGCCGGGGCCAGAGACGGGAGCTCACTCCGTCATGCGGCACTCGGGTCTCGAACTGCCAAACTGCCGACCTTCTGGTCTGCAGCTCAGCGTCTTGACCACTGAGCCACCGCAGCCCCTCAAACAGCATATCCTTGTCTCCCGCTATTGATGCCAACTTCCAGGTGGGACCTGGGGATCTCCCGGAATTAGAACTCAAATGATCAGTTCCCCTGGAGAAAATGGCTGCTTTGGAGGGCGGACTCTACGGCACTGGTCTCCGCTGAGGTCCCTGTCCTCCCCAGGTCCCATCCTTAAATCTCCAGGAGTTTCCCAACCTGGATCTGGCAACCCGCTGGTGGCTGGGAGGGGGACCTGGCAACCCTCTTTTCCAGCCAAATAGTTTGAGCTGAATAATTTCATAGACTGGCAACAGTCCCACTGTCCAATTTAGCCTTCTGAAGTTCCTGGAGCCTGTAGAAGGTAGGGGGCCTGTCTCACTGCCTCTTCAAAGACGGTCCTTCAAACAGCCGTGTGCGAGAAGAACCTGTGGCCTTGAGCTGGGAGAGTCCTAAATGGACCACAGGATGGATAAGAACATAAGAACATAAGAGATGCCAACGTTGGATCAGGCCAAAGGCCCATCCAGTCCAACACTCTGTATCACACAGTGGCGAGAAATACCAGTGCCATCAGGAGGTCCACCAGTGGGGCCAGGACATTAGAAGCCCTCCCACTGTTGACCCCCCAAAGCACCAAGATGACAGAGCATCACTTGCCCCAGAGTCCCTATCTATACCTTGTGGCTAATAGCCACTGATGGACCTCTGCTCCATATGCTTATCTAATTCCCTTTTGAAGCCGTCCATGCTTGTAGCTGTCACCACTTCCTGTGGCAGTGAGTTCCAAGTGTTAATCACTCTTTGGGTGAAGAAGTACTTTCTTTTATCTGTTCTAACCCGACCGCTCAGCAATTTCATGGAGTGCCCACAAGGAGTTCTTGTATTGTGAGAGAGGGAGAAAAGTACCTCTTTCTCTACCTGCTCTTTCCCATACATAATCTTATAAATCTCAATCATGTCACCCCTCAGTCGTCGTTTCTCCAAGCTAAAGAGCCCTAAGCGCCTTAACCTTTCCTCATAGGGAAAGTCTTCCAATCCCTTTATCATTTGAGTTGCCCCTTTCTGCACTTTTTCCAAAGCTATAATATCCTTTTTAAGGTGTGGTGACCAGAATTGCACACAGTATTCCAAATGAGGATCTACAACGAGGCCTGGGATGACGAACGCGTGAACACACGAACCTTCCATAAACTGAATCAGGCCACTGATCCATCAAACTGAAGCGACTCACACCCCGATAGACCTCTGCTCCGTATGTTTATCCCCCCATGAACTTAGGCAATGCCCCTGCGGTCCGGGTGCTATCGAATCCGTTTCCACTGTTCTTTTAAATTGTCCATTTTATACTAAGATTCGAGGGAAATTTCTGGACACCCTTCTTTTTACATGGCGTGGTCTTCCTGAGAGTGTCAAGGTCCAGTGGCTACTCTCTGGGCAAAACGCTTCTATAACTTTTATTGTGGCTTGCTTTCTTCAATCTGTAATTCGAACCAGGGAAACTATTAATCGATCAGTTCTTTTTTGTTGGCTGTTCGACCCATACCTTTGATGTATTCCTAAATTTTAATGTTATCTTATCTCTTAAAAAGGTAAAGGTAAAGGTCCCCTTGCTCGAAAGCCAGTCGAATCCGACTCTAGGGTTGAGGTGCTCATCTCCATTTCAAAGCCGAAGAGCCAGCGCTGTCTGAAGACGTTTCCGTGGTCATGTGGCCAGCATGACTAAACACCGAGGCGCAAGGAACACTGTTACCTTCCCACCAAAGCGGTACCTATTTATCGACTTGCAATTTCTTGCTTTCAAACTGCTAGGTTGGCTGGAGCTGGAACTAGAGACGGGAGCTCACTCCGTCATGCGGCACACTCGGGTCTCGAACTGCTGAACTACCGACCTCCCACAGCCTGCAGTTCAGCATCTTAACCACTTGAGCTTGGGGCAATTGTTCCTCTACTTACAAAGTGATAACAGCCACTTGAACTTATAAGACTGACTCAAAAACAAACGTAAGGAGGGAATTTTGTTATTCACCTGGCCCCAACCACACATAAGAAAGGTCATAGCCCCTCCCGCTCGCCCTTACCGGTCTTCTCCATAACGTCGACTGAAAACTCTACATCTCGTCGTTTTACTTGTGGAAGCCACCTGATGATGGTGTAGTTCTCCCCCACGTCAGTGGTGATATTCTCAAAGGACAGCAGCACTAGGAAGGTGGGAAACGAAGCAGAAAAGAGAATTTATTAGTGCTGCATCTTCAAGCCGCTTATTCGAAAGCCTAAGGAATGAAGTGCCGTCGGGTGGACTGCCGGCGTCCTCTTTAGAGAACAACGAGATAATCAAAGCGGCAAACAAAGAGCCCTGAAATGTGTTCGGAGTCATTATCCCGCGAGCGCCTGAGTGCATCGATCTTCCTGTTATCCTGAGATTCTGTATCACAGAAAACCGCAAATTAACCTGGTGTGTGACAGAGACTTTAGATTTCCGAGAATTGGGTTTTTTCCCCAAGTAAGTGCAAGTTCAGATATCACTTTGTTTTCTTTACGTAGAAAATGGTGGGTGCTCCTGTACAGGGGGAGGGAGGGAGGGAGGGAGGG